GTAACTTTATCCATTTGGCAAATGCAGTTGTTCAAACAACCAATAAAGCTATTGGTCACAGACTTGAAACTTTGCGGCGTGCAAGAAGATTTGTATCTAGCAGATATGCCCTTTCCAATATTTACCCAATTCTGTGATTAAAAATTTTATACATAAAATAGATTCCATCTTACCTTTCCAATTATTCCAATCTTCAGCAACATTAATATTCTCTCGTACATCTGGTAACAAGATCAGAAAATTCAAACTTCTCAACTCAGGAGGCAGATTTTTATATAACACTGTGCAAGATCTTTAAATTCTTAAAGCTCTCAGACAGACAAGAGCCGTTGGTAGTGTCCTGTACCAGTTTCGACTCTGGTTGAAATGGAACAGCAGTCCTGTTGCTACTAGAACCATTGGCATTATCTGATACCAGTTTTGGCAATGGATTATATGGAACAACAGTCTTGTTGCTGCTAAAACCATTGGAGGTGTCTGATACCAATTTGGGTAATGGATTATATGGAACAACAGTCTTGTTGCTGCTAGAACTATTGGAAGTGTTTGATACCAGTTTTGGTAATGGATTATAGGGAACAACAGTCTTGTTGCTGCTAGAACCATTGGAAGTGTCTGATAAAAGTTTTGATACTGGTAGAAATGGGAATAACGGTCTTTTGCTACTACCACTGCTGCTGCTTGCCGAACCAGTGGAATTCCTGTCATTCTTTAATGTCTTTTAGAAGTTCTTGTAGTTTTTGTTAAAGTACTGTTGGTTGGTGATGTTTTGCAACTCACGCCATCTGATAAAGGATTGAATAGAAGATTTTAAATTATTAGAATGTTTATGCTTTAAAAAGGTATGAATACATTTGCTTCTATTATCTATTTTTGACAAAATATCTTTATTCTAATATTCTGCACTTTTTAAAATTGGTGATTGTTTTTTTTTTGTATTATTAAAATAATTTTTACAACTGTCCTGAAACGGACAACAAGTAAAATATTTGACATGAAACTGAAGGCGTTGGCAAAATACAAATCATCTGACCATTGCCAGTGATTTGCCGAAGGTCTTATTTATTGTTGATTAATGCAGAAGAAATTTTCTTGTTAATCGGGCCTTGGTAGGGTTGTTCTGAAGTTTTCTCGCGAGCAAGTTTGGGTGATCAGCTAGGCGATTTCTATATTTGTGTGAGTAAGCGATTATTTAATCCTTAACTGTGCTAGTGCATGGGTCTTTGTGTATTAACCAATTTGGAACATACTTTGGTGCTTTCAAAATTTCTTTTAATAACTTGTTCTGAAATCTTTGAATTATTAAAGCGTTTGAGTTGGAAGTTGATTCCCATAGCTGTATGCCGTATGTCCAAATTGGTTTAATGATGGCTTTATAGTAATTGTTTTTTTATTGGAAGTTTTACAATTGGATATGGAAACTACTTATACTTGTTTGTGTCAGTTATTACCACTGGTTTTCTCCAATTTTCCTCCATCCATTCTGATCAACGTGCACCCACTCTCATCACATGCCAAAGGGTTGTACATGTAATATGCATCATCTTCTTTCCAAATCGAGACCTCGTTGGAGTTATTTGGTCCTTGGAGAATTCCATATTCAAAATTTGTAAAGAACAACTTCAAACCATTCTCCAAATCCAATCCCTGGTCATCTTTCGATTTCAAATCACCGATTACTGATGCTTCTATCTTGTTTAGGATGAATTCTCGGTTGTCAACACCTGGGAGAAAATAGAAGTGGATGAGGATAGTTGAATTGCATAAAATCAAGGAACTTTGGTAAGTCTTTGGTTGTTGAAATATATCTTACCTATTTCTTTTATATTGACCAAATTCCCTTCTCTACTCTTCAGCTCCATGCCCTCTGCATGTTTCAATATATCATCCAGATCTTGTTCTGTCCAATTTCGAACCATTTTGGCAAGTGACCAAACAATCGCCAAAATATTTGCGCAATGCACCAAATTTTTATCGGAATCCGATCCATGATTATTACTTTTCAATATATAATTATCGGAATTGGTCTGCTTAAAATTGGAATCAACTTTGTCGTCCTTTGAAATCTTGTTGGAAAATTTTGCCGAAAGTAATTCTTTTGGGTCAAATAGGGTCTGGTTGCATTTTTTGGAATTTGGAGGTGAGGATTTATGCATGGAAGTAGAAAATTAATGGAAATTTTGATACATATTAGAAATAATCCAGATAATTTTAGAAACAAAAATTTAAAACAAAATTTTATTTGACAGTTTATGAATACTTATAATCATTGTTTTTGAATTTTTGTAATCTTTGTTAGGTTATAATAAATACAGTACAAATTTGTGATTGGTTAATCTTGAGAGATTTGAAGTTTGATTTAAAAAAAAACGTTTTTTTTTAATTTTTTGAGAATTTGAAAATTTTGAAAATATTTGTTTTTTAACTTCCCGTAGGGTAAGTTATAGTAATCGCAAAAAATCGAAAATGAAAATTTTCATATATCTTTACGTTTCAGAGGTTTCTGAACATTTTGGCATACCTTAGAAAAAATGGATGTATGTGTGTGTGTGTGTGTGTACGGATACAAATTTTCGTCGACGATTTCGGGAACACGGTTCAACCGATTTCGATTATTCAAAAAACATTCGATTGCTGTTGATAAGGAGACGTGCTGATTAGATTTTGGCATAAACAGGCCTAGCCGTTCCGAAGATACGGGGCAAAAAGTGCCACAAAGGGTAACTCAGTTTTTAACAGAACGGAGCGTCCGATTTTAATAATATTAAAATATAATAATAACATTTTACTTGTATTTTCATGAAGGCAGGTCTAGCGGTTTCGGAGATCTAGTGAAAAAAGTAAAAAAAAAGCTATTTGGCGGTCACAAATGATCATTAGATATATGCACATCAAATTATCTGATGTTTTATAGAGATTTTAACAGCAAGTATCAATTTTTGATATTTCCTCTCTATGCAGTTAAAGGAGTACGATTGCTTTTAAAAAATGTTCAGAATTTCCAAAATATAATTCAATATAAAAAAATTTTTTTTTTAAAAAGGTAAATTTTTGTCAAAATTTTATAGTTTCTCAAAAATCTAATTTTTTCAAAGTAATTTTTTTCCAAAAATATTAATCTTTTTAAGAAAAAATAATTATTAGTACGGGAATTTCCAGCAATTTGCCTTAAGGCACGATGCCATGCGCAGCACTAGTTTTTTTTGAAAATTTCGAAATATTCTCAAACTTTTATAATTGTAATTTTTGTTTTTTTTTTATTTTGATATTTTTTGAAATTTTTCAAAATCAATTTTTTTTTTGAAAATTATGAAAAATTTCGAAAATTTGAATTTTTCGAAACTTTGAATTTTTTTGAAAATTTTCAAAATTACGAAATTTTTCGTAAAAGCATTTTTTGCACACCGTCTACTCAAGCAAAATGTTTTTGAATTAATATAATCGGATGATCAGTTCTCTCAAAAACTGCATAACCGTTTTGACACCCTTTGCGCTCCATACCTCCAAAACGGCAAAATTGCCTTTAGAAATATTGTTTTCACAATTTCTCTCATCATATAATTGTGTTTGAAGAACTACAAGTAATTAAAATTAACATAACATTAATTGACTGTATGTTTTTTTGACTATTTCGCTAGCGATACAGTCTCATTTGATTTATTATTTTCGCTATACAATCAAAGCAATCATACTCACGCGACACGACGACCAATCACAATCGACCCGTATAGAAATGATATCATCGAGAGCGAATGACGAATCATTGGCACTCGACACGAGCGTAACGCTCTTCCGTTGCATTTGTACAGATTTACTACTTTTTAGTCTCGCCTAAAGAACTAAACTAGTGGGGCGCATGGCATCGTGCCTTAAGGCAAATTGCTGGTACTTCTCGTACCAAATTTTTTTTTTTTTTTGAAAAAGATTAACATTTTTGAGACAGATTTACTCTGAAAAAATAGATTTTTGAGAAACTATAAATTTTTGACAAAAATTTACTTTTTTGTGAAAAAAAAGACTTTTTGAAGAAAAATTTATTTTGAAATATTTCGGAAATTCTGAACTTTTTTTCAAAGCAATCGTACTGCTTTTTAACCGCATAGAGACGAAGTATCGAAGCGCGTAAGCGCCACGTCGCCGTCTAACAGATAAGCATTGGTACGGAACCTATAAGAAGGTAAACAAAATTTATACTTATTGTGAAAATCTCTATAAAATATCTGATAATTTGATGTGCATATGTCTATTGTTCATTTTTGACCGCCAAATGGCTCATTTTTTTACTTTTTCGTCCATATCTCTGAAGTCGTTGCACCTTTCTTTCCAAAAATTTAAACAGTTCCTCATTTAGTTACAAATAAAATGTTTTTTGAATTATTCAAATAGGACGCTCCGTTCTCTTAAAAACTGAGTTACCGTTTTTGGCACTTTTTGCCCCATATCTTCGGAACGGCTAGACCTGCCTTCGCCAAAAACTAATCAGCACGTCTCCTTATCAATACGAATCGAATGTTTTTTTAATTATTCAAATCGCTTCATCCGTGTTCCCGAAATCGTCGACGAAAATTTGTATCCGAACACACACACATACATCCATTTTTTCTAAGGTATGCCAAAATGTTCAGAAGGTTTTGAAACGTCAAGATATATAAAAATTTTCATTTTCGATTTTTTTGCGATTACTATAATTTGCCCTATGGGAAGTTAACTAGTGGTAAGGCTAACCCGATGATATACATAGACAATCATTTATCATTAATTAATCATCATTACCACAATTATCACTAATTAAAACACTCTGAATAAATAAAGTTTATTTATTTACAAATTTATTTAAAATCAAAACAATAAATTTCATTTATAAATATCTAATTATGTATATTCATTTTAATTTTTAACTAAATTTCTTTTATATATTTTAATATAATGTAAATATAATTTGGTTTTATATTATATATATATATATATATATATATATATATATATATCATGCTTCTCCTTTATCAACGGCACATGCCCACATGAAGCATCAAACTCCTTTTATTTACACACTGTATATTGCATTTATGACAAGTAAAAGTCTTCTCGTACGTGTGTATCCTAAAATGATTAGCCATCTGACTTCTCTGAGGATAAATGGTTTTGCAAATAGTGCATTGCAATTGTTTGCTGAAACAATTGCCATCATTTGTAACCAGAACCTCTATACAATGATTTTGAGACATATGGGCCTTCAAAACCACTTTATTGAGGAAGGACTTTTGGCAAGGGGAGCACCCAAATGGTGTCGCCGTGGTGCGCGGGGTAGTTGGACGATTGGAATGCATTTGCAAGACGTGTTTGTGTAAGTCTTCTTTTTTCTTGTATGTTTTGGGGCACCTGGTGCACTTGTAAGCACTGGTTTGGATTATTCTGTTTATGATAGATTTGCGATCTGTTGGAAGCAGCTTTCGGTTTGTGTGTTGAGACATCATGTGTTTTATTAAAGTGTTGGCGTCCAGGAACGCTTCTTGGCAATGGTTGCACTTGAATCTTGAAAGGTCAACTTGTAAAGGATCGATGGAGTCACTGGCGTGTGATGATAGCATGTGCGCGTTTAATTGCAAGTGATCAGTGAAAGTGTTTGGGCAAAAATCGCATTGGTAATGTTCTTCGATGTCAAATACTGTAACAAGATTATCAACTTCAGGTTTAGTGTCAAGTGGAGGCTCAACAGGTGCATCAGGAAAAATGCCTGTGGTTTCTTCATTGTGTATCGTCATATGACTGGTTAAAGAGTTTACATTAAAAAATATTTGTTTACAAATGTAACACTCATATTGTGTATCAAACACTTCTGGCCTTTGGAATCCATGTGTCTTCATATGTCTGACAAAGACCTTCTCTTCACAAAATCTCTTCGGACAGAGATCACACCGTATCATCTTCCTCCCGCAATGCGGCCTCACATACAAAGTCTTATTGTTAAGTACAATAACCGGTTGTTTACATATTTGACACGTATGCATGACCCTTATTTTACAATTCAATATATTCCTCTTCAAACTAGACATGTTTTTGTGTTTATTCATATGTGCAATCAAAGTTCGGTTAGTAACCCCCATGAAACAAATCATGCACATGTTGCCTTCACTATTTAAATGAGATTGTAAATGCTCAATAAATTTATCAGAGTCTGAAAACAGTTTGTCGCAGTAATCGCAATATTTAGATTCGTAGAAGAAATCTACTTCATCTGACTCTTCCTCTTCCTCTTCATAAATTATTGGTTTGGGTGATGGGTTTTGTGGACATGGTTCAGGGTCATCCACGATTTCTATTGTCTCAGGCTCATCATCTGGGATGACTATTGTTTCATTATCATCTTCTATTTCAATCATTTCAACGGACTTGTTGTCCGGTTCTACTTCAGTGACTTCGTAATCCATTTCTTTATCTGTTGATGTCACAACACTATCGTTTAAACTGTATACGCTTTCAATTCGCAATTCACAAGTGGAAGAGACTACTGTTGTTTCAGGTTGATGTTGGGGAAGACTCTTGTGGGGGACAATGTGTTTTTTTAATTTTAATGTGACTTGATCTGTGTGTTGCCCCAGGACCATTGCTCGATATTGGGTGTAGTTTTCTGTATCTTCCTCTAACTGGAAAAGAATAAATATTATTAAAACAAGTAAATAACAAAACTAAGGGACCAATTCTGCCGCATAATAAGGCAAGGCATGTTACGCTCCAACTTCCATACATTATGATACTGAATACTGTCAAAATGTCATGTATTTGCTGTGCAATCAGGCCTTTTGCACATAAACTGCAACGTCACACGTATGTTATGAAGGTGGGTCAAAAGGACCCTGTTGTCTAAGATCGTTTTTTTGACATTTGTGCGGTTTCTGGGTTATGTTTTCTGAGAAATACACCTGACTGCACACCGACCACATGGCTTTGTCAATATTTAGTATGAAAAGTTCTTCATAACATAGCCTTGCCATAACATTGGTCTGTTATGCGGCAGAATCGGTCCCTAAGTATACTAGACATTTTGCCTTAAGGCATGCATTAATCAATATGAAATTTGAAACTCTTAAAATTGTGACGATAAACTAGTGGTGTATGGCATCGTGCCTTAAGGCAAATTGCTGGAACTTTCCGCACTGTAATGAAATATCCTAAGAATATTAAATGTTTCAAAATATATTATTATAAATACTTCATTCATTGTCCATGTTTTATAGACAAAATATAGGAGCTCATAAATTGGACGATGGCGTTCATATAAGTTTATATGTAAAGTTAATGAAGCGGAGTTAGAATGAAGGACCTCATCTCATATTTCTAAGAATAATGTAAACTGAATTGCAAAGTTAAAATTATTTATTTCAAGTATATAAGTGAGCTTTAGAATTAGCTAGGGTTAAAATTAAAATCCGAATTATTTTCGATATTAAAAATTTTTTTTTTCCCGAAAAGCAATTGTTTTTTGAATCATTTAAATCGGATGGTTCGAAAACTATCATTTTTTGCACATTTAGCTCCGTATCTCCAAAACGGCTGGATCTGCCCCTGCCAGAAACTAAATCACCACTTTTCCCCTACCATTAAGAATTGAATGTTTTTTGAATCATTCAAATCGGATGCTCCGTTTTTTTAAAAACTTAATTAGCACTAAATTTCCAATTAATGTCTTTCGAAAACATACTTATAATATCTGTAATTGTGTAAATTATGTAAATTATTTTGTTGAACACTCCATTTGTTGATCTATTTCGTGTTCTAAAAGTGCTTTTCTTTTTATTTAAGTGTGGGTGTCAACTGTAATCAGTAGCTATCAATATGTATCAACCAGTATTAGTATAGAAATTCAGACTACGAATTTTATTGTCATACTAAGTTTTATCAACATGTACAAAAAAAATCATTTTTACTAATCAATGTGATTCCCAACCAAAATTGTTTGGATGTGTGTTTATGTTTTGTGTGTCTACGATTTCGGGAGCACCGATCAACCGATTGGAATAGTTTAAAAAACTTTCGATTCCTATTGATAGCGAGATGTGCTGATTAGTTTTTGGTAAAGGCAGGTCCAGCCGTTACGGAGATACGGAGCAAAGAGTGCAGAAAATAGAAATCGAGTTTTTGAGAGAACGGAGCATCTGATTTGAGTGATCCAAAAAACATTCAATTTGTAATGATAGGGAGATGTGCTGATTAGTCTTTGGCAAAGGCAGGCCCAGCCGTTTCGGAGATACGAAGCGAAATGAGCTAAAAATGACAGTTTTTGAGAGAACTAAGCATCCGATGTGAATGATTCAAAAAACTTTCTGCTTGTGTTGACAAAACAAGTGCTTTTGGATAGATTTTTTTTAATTTCTAAAAAAAATTAAAAATATATACCTAGCATATATACGTTCTGTGTTTCGTATGTAGCTGATTACAGTTGACGTCCACACTTAAATAAGAAGAAAAAAAACCTTTAGAACACAAAATGGATAGAATAAAATGTGTTCAACAAATTAATTTACAAAATAAGAGTTATCATTTGGAAAACTAGTGCTAATTAGTAATTAATTTATGAAGAAACGTAAAATTTGACAAAAAAGTTGTACTATTTGGATAAAACTTTTATTATGATTCATTTCATAGCCTTAACTAAGATCCTGAAATATTATAGGCCTACGAAAAGTAATTTAACTATAAAAATTTATTAAAATTCAAGAATAACGACAATTTCAAAAATGTCTGAATTACAATTTGAATCATTTCATATAATTTACACAATTACAAATATTATAGGTAAGTTTTTTTTGCATAGTTTTATTGTCAATCAAAATAATAGGTAAGTTTGAAAAGCATTAATAGAAAAACTAGTGTTAATTAGTTTTTGGTAAAGATTGTATGAGCAGGTTTCTGTATAATTAATTTTGTGAAAAAAAAAGTTGGATAATTTTGATGAATTTTCAACATCTTAAAATATTATAGGCCTACAAAAAGTAATCTAACTATGGAATTCATCAAAGTTCAAGAATAATGACAATTGTAAGTGCCTAAATTTCAATTTGAATTATTTTGCATAAATACATAAACTGGGAAATTTTCACAACTTGTCTTAAGGCAAAATGCAACTTACACCCAGTTTAGTTCAGGAACTATCTTTAGCAATATCATTAATTTGTATTTATATTACAATATTACTTGATGTTAATAAATTAGCAGTAGTAATAATTATTGAAATTAAAAAAAAAAAAAAAAATTAATTTGTATATGATAAGAAATCACTATAATAGTTTACAAGTGATTTGTAAATATACCGATTAGTTGGCACAAACTACTGCTGATAATTCTGCTTCACATTCATATTTTTTCAATTTTGGTGTCAAACATAAAATGAGCAAATTTGATTTTCTGATGAAAATACAAACGTCCCCTTCGGGTAGTTAATATTATAAATTTCAATTATCTATCACGATTATTTATCTACTTACATTGAAATGATCTTCACAGACATACGAAGAAGGTGTAAGTTTCTTTCCTACAATTTTGCACCATCGTTGTCTCACTTCTATATTTGGTGGAGCCCGGAAGAACATTTTCCTAGGAGCATCTTGTGTTGTGCTTTCGCACATCGGCATGCAACATGACTTCATATTTGATTTCTTAGAATCATCCATTGGTAATAGTTGGACTAGCAGGTGGACTGGATTGTTTTGGTATTAAATATTTACATCGTTGATTATTAGTTAGGCATTATATTATGTGTAACTAATTTTGAAGAATATAAAGTTGCCTTTACTAATTTATAATCAAGACATCAAGTTTTTATTTCTATTTCCATTATTAATAAAACATTTTATTTTTATATCACATTTACCTTGTAATATTTATACCACTTATTATCTTTTTTATTTCCTATTATAAATTTATTTATATATTTTTCAGAAATATTTATAAAATATTTTCGTGACTTTGACAGGTAAGAAAAACAAACATGGCGATCAGTATTGTTAGATCCCTGTCACACACGGGGAGAATAGTTTAGGTCGTTGGCACCATAGATAACTAGTTGGTATTGGTATTTTGCCTTGAGGCAAGTTACATGAAACTTCTTGATATGTGTAAATAATCGACTTATTTAATAAAAACAATTAATTTATGAGTGATTTAAAGTATTCCGAATAGATTTATAACACATAATTGAAAACGAACAAACTCGTTAACTTGGAGTATTTTCTAAAAGCAAATTTTCATAAATCAATAATTTTTATAGTTGAACCAGTTTTCAAAGAACATTAATGGTTTAGTATGTTTATTAAGACCAAGTACTCTATCGTTAAACCAAGTAAATGGTCTAATTTTAATTTTAACAAACGTCAAAAAAGCTACTCATTTTCTCAAACTTTCATGAATTTTTAAAATTAAACTACTAAACGTAAGGCCGTAATATTTCAGTAAGTTCTATAAGACCATGCTATATATCGTCAAAAAAAGTTCCATTAAAATCGGCTTCAATTTTTTTTTCAACAGTTAATTACAAGAAAACGGCTCGGTAGATTTTTACCTAAAACTAATCAGTATCATTCCCAACTAATATCTATAGATATAATTTAATAGCTTAAATGTGGACGAAAAGTTTAACACTTTTTTCAAATTACAAAGAGAGAGATTTGAGATATTTCAAATGGCTTTTAAATCTCTGAAATCTGTTCAGACGTTTTTGAGAAAACGTCGATCAAATGTCTAATTTTGACAAATGCCAAAAAAGCGATACTAATTTCTGCAAACCTTGTAGAATTTTTAAAATTAAACGACTTGTAGGGCCGTAATATTTCAGTATGATCTAAAAGACTATGATATCTGCCGTCAAAAAAATAATAATAAAAATCAACGAAAAAATTTTTTTTAACACCTTATTACAAGAAAACGGCCCGGCCGATCTCTACCAAAAACTAATCAGCACGGTTTTTGAATTTTCAAAATCGATTCAGAATTGCGGGCTAAAACGTAGACGAAAAATTTTTCACTTTTCTGCAATTTATAAAGAAACAGCTTGGCTGATCGTCGCACAAATATTCCTCGACAAGCAATAGTCATCATCGAGATACATCGAATGGCTTTTAAATTTTTGAAATCAGTCCAGTCGTTTTTGAGAAAACGTCGATTTACGGCAAAAAATCTGTTCAGACACAACACACAACATACTTTTTCCAAATTTGGTCTCATTCAATTCAGAATGGCTTGAAACGTCGGGAAAACATAAAATTAGCGAATCGGATTTTTCGACGAAAACATAAACTTCTCCTTCGGGATGTTAATAAATTAAATAGTAGAAATATGTAAGAATTGACTTAATCAATCGAAATTGAAGTTAAGATATTTAGATGAAATTAGTCAACCGTTTGTTTTAAAAATAAAGTTGTTATTATATTATATTGTTACGATATGCTTACAATAATCAAATCAACTTTTGAAAGATGTTTCATTTATTCCACTTTTTTTCAAGAGAGTTAAATATATCACAATTGCTAATATATTGATATTATTATATAATATTTATAAAACTCGTGTTCCCTTTATTAATTCAAGAATTTTACAACAAATTCGTTCGCTCTTGTTTCATATGTTATGAATTTTGCTCTGGACTATTTTGAAAAAAAAAATCATCAAATTTTACACATATTTGTGTTTATTTATTATCTCAATAAATATAAATATGAATAAATAAGTAATAAATAAAGTAAATGTGAGATAATAAATTTAATGCCTTTCCAAAAATTTCGTCAGTTCTTCATTTTGTCAAATACAAAATGTTTTTTGAATCATTCAAATCGGACGCGGGGTTCTCTTAAAACCTGAATTACCATTTTTGGCACTTTTGCCCCGTATCTTCGAAAAGGCTCGACTTACCTTGTGCAAAAACTGAGCAGCACGTCTCCTTATTATTTGGAATCGCAATCGCAATTCATATTGGTTGATCCGTGTTCTCGAAATTGTTGACGAAAAATTGTATCGGTACATACATTCTCACGTACGCGCACATACACACGCACACATAAATATATCAATTTTTTTCTAAGGTATGCCATAATATTCAGAAATCAAGATATGTACAAATTTTATTATTTTTTTTTTTTTGCGATTACTATAACTTACCCCTTATGATTATTAATCTATGACTTACCCTATGGAAAGTACGCCCCCCAATTTCATACTTAATGACTTAATGACTTTCTTTCTAAAGTTAATGATTTATATGATATGTATTATAGGTAGTTGTTATGAATAATTAGCATCATATCCTCATCTGATTATTTTAACATCCCGAAGGAGAAGTTTATGTTTTCATCAAAAAATCCGAATCGCTAATTTTATGTTTTCTTGGCGTTTCAAGTCATTCTGAATTGAATGAGACCAAATTTGGAAAAAGTATGTATGTGTGTGTGTGAACAGATTTTTTTGCCGTAAATCGACGTTTGCTCAAAAACGCCTGAACCGATTTCAGATATTTAAAAAGCATTTGATGTATCTCGATGAAGATTATCGTTTCTCAGTTTTGTGCGATGATCGACCGAGCCGTTTCTTTGTAATTTGGAAAAAAGTGTTAAATCTTTTGTCCACATTTAAGCTCATACTACCGAACCAATTTAAAAAATCAAGAACTGTTCGAAAGCTATTAGTTGGGAATGATACTGATCAGTTTTAGGTGAAAATCTACCGAGCCGTTTTCTTGTAATTAACTGTTGAAAAAAAATGTATGCCGATTTTCATGGAACTTTTTTGCGATATATATATCATGGTCTTATAGAACTTACTAAAATATTACGGCCTTACGACAAGTAGTTTAATTTTAAAAATTCATCAAAGTTTGAGAAAATGAGTAGTTTTTTTGACGTTTTTTAAAAATAAAATTAGATGATTTAGTTGGTATAGCGATAGTGTACTTGGTCTTGAACATAGTAAACCATTAAAGTCCTACGGAAACTGGCTCAATTATAAAAATTATTGATTTTTGAAAATTTGCTTGTAGAAAATACTCCGAGTTAACGTGTTCGTTTGTTCGTTTACAATGATATGTAATAAATCCACTCGGAATACTTACAATCACTCATAAATTAATTTATTTTTTATTGATTAAGTCGATTATTTACACATTTCGGGAAGTTCATGTAACTTGCCTCAAGGCAAAATACCAATACCAACTAATTCTATATAGATATTAGGCTAATAGAAATAACTTAATTATCGGCTTTTACATAAATCTTATATCACTAAAATTATTTGATATGTAAACTTTTTACAAGAAGTTTTACATTTCTACATCCTGCTACGAATTCTAGCGCCTCTACCAGCGTAATTCGCAATTATCCCGCTGACCCTGAAGTATCCTATCTATTTCTTTATCTATGGCCTAGGATTCATGTCAAACGTCAAGCTAGCGACAGCGTCAAAAAAATCTTTTAAAACCATATTTAATTAATTAAAATTAATTGTAAATCAAACAGTGTAAATATAATAATAATGTCTGAAGACACGACTGTCTTGACGAACGAGGAGAAAATTAAAATAGAACCACCAGAAGTCGTTAAGTGTGAAATTGGGGATGAATTGGGGGGCCTTGATGATGTTGTTGAGTCTGAGTCGTGTCCAGAGGATGATGATACATGTCTGGAGAATTTTATAGACTGCGAAGTCACTTTAGAAGAAGATGTCAATCAGGAGGGAATCCAGACACCTGCTTATGTGTGTGAGATATGTAATAAACCATTCATAAGGTTGCATAATTTAGAAAAACATATAACACTTCATAATCGTGAATGCACATATTGTTCAGAGACTTTTCAGGACTTAGGTCGTTTAAAAATACATCTCAGAACTCATACCGGTGAAAAAGGATACCAATGCAACCTATGCAGCCGAGAATTTAATCGACTGAATCATTTGAAGCAACACATGCTTATTCACAGTGGAGTACGCCCTTACAGATGTGAAATCTGCGATAAAGGATTCCTACGTCCACATCATTTAACTACTCACATGTATATTCACACCGAAGAGAACAAACCTTACAAATGTGAAATATGCTTAAAGGCTTTCACACAATTAGAGTATATGGAAACCCACAAGCTTACCCACAATAAAAATTTTGCTTGTGAAATATGTAATAGAATATTCGATAAATCAAGCCGCCTAAAAAGACATATGTCTACCCACACTGGAGAGCGTCCTTATGAATGTCCGTTATGCGAAAGCACTTTCAACCAATCAGGCACTTTGAAAAGACACATGAGCATCCATTCCGGAGAACGCCCTTTCAGCTGTGAAACATGCAGTAAAGCATTTAGAACAAAAGTAATGTTAAATGCTCATGAGAAGACCCATTCTGAAGAGCGCCCTTTTAAATGTGAAATCTGCAGTAAAACGTTCACTCAAGCAACTTATTTAAAAGGACACTTGGCAGTGCACAACAAAGTAAAATGTCATAAATGTGCTAAGTGTAATAAAATATATAAGTCGGAAAAAACATTGAGTCGACATGAATTATTGGCTCATGCTGCAAAGTGAGATTTAGCAAAGAAAGTGAAAATTTGAAGTAATCTATAGTTTTATTAATAATAAAACCTAAATGAAAATAACATTGTTATTATTTTTACTCACTTTTTTGTCATTTACTGTTTTATTTATTTTATTTATTTTGTCATTTACTGTTATATATATATATATATATATATATATATATATATATATAAATTCTTCTGGGTGTATGATTTGATACTTTTCCTAAATGGTTATTTGGATCTTGATAATTCTTTTCAGAGTTGGTCAAAGGAAATTTTTAAGATTTAATGAATATTGTAGAAATAAATGGCAAATATTTAAAAAAAAATGCTTATCATTGTTTGACATTGAAACCATTTGAACAGTCATCTGCTAGAAATGTCAATTCACTTGAATTTGAATTTAGTTGACAATATTGGAATATAATATACAACAAAAATGTAACGTCTGAATTATTACTATCGAAAAGCAGCTGAAATGTGCCAGAAATCAAAATAATGTAAGATACAGTCAACAGTATATGTTGGCAGATGAAATTATATAATTCATTTTAATAAATAACCCAATAAGTCCATAAATTGCATATACACTATTTTTTTAAACTTATGCATGCCGCATTTTGGTTTACTTTACTAAATTATTTAACAATGCATAAAAATATTTCTACTTATTAAAAAAATGATTTAGAATTTTGTTTCATGTGTCATAAATTAATTTGTTTGGCATTGGATATAGAATATTTAACAAGTTGATCTTAGATTGAATAGTGCATATATGAACTAGATTTTACAAATTAATTCACCTAAAATTTGAACTTAAACAATTGTGTTTATTGGATTATTAGTAAGAAAATTTATAAAGTTCTTTTAAAATTATAATTGCCAAAAAGCAACTAATATATTGTACGAGATTATGAAAATTCTAGAAACTAATTTAGCTTGAAGCAATTATGTTGTGTGGTAAAATCAAGTGTGATATTGTTCGTTTAGCGCAGATACTATATTATTATTTTTCTGATTTTTTTTTATACTGCTTATGCTATAAGACCATAAATGAATCACAAAGACAGGTTATCAAATAGGATACCGATTTGAATGGTTAAAAAAAACATTCGATTCCTATTAATGTGTTGATTAGTTTGTGGCTAAGCCAGGTCCAGCCTTTACGGAGAAATGGAGCAAAGAGTGCAGAAAATAGAAATCGATGTTATGAGAGAACGGAGTATCCGATTTGAATGATCCAAAAAACATTCAATTTGTAATGATTGCGAGAAGAAGTGATTAGTTTTTGACAAAGGCAGGTCTAGTCATTTAGAAGATACAGAGCTGAATGCGCAATAAATGGCAGTTTTTGATAGAACTAAGAGTCCGATTTGAATGATTTAAAAAACTTTCTGCTTGTGTTGACGATACGATTGCTTTTGAGGAAAGATTATTTTTTTTATTCTATTTTTTTTCAATTTTTTTTTCTTTGATATCGAAAAATAATTCGGATTTTAATTCAAGTTTTAGCTAAGTTCTAAATATCACTTATATACTTCGAATAAATAATTTTAACTTTGCATTCCAGTTTATATAATACTAAGAAATATTAGTTAGTGTTCTTCATCATAAATCCGATTGATTAGGGGGCATCCGTTAATCACGTGAGCTAGTTTTTAAGGATTTTTGGACCCACCCCTTCCCCTTGGTTATACATGGTGATATTCAAAATTACCACCCCCCTCCCCAACCATACATCACGTGATAAAACTGTAATTTTTTTTTAAAAAGATTTAAATTTTTGAATTTTTTTTTAAAGAAATCAATTAAAAATTAGATACACGTGATATCTTACTATACTCCTCTTTCCCCCACGTGATATTTGGTGATTTATTGTCGATCCCGCCCCCTCCCCATAAAAACCTCATGTGTTTAATGGTTGCCCCATAGATGAATAAGCCCCCTTACGTTTTGTTTATTTACTTTTTATAAAATAAGAACCATGAAAGTTACATTGTTTATAATAATATTTCATTAAGGTACGGAAAGTTCCTGCAATTTACCTTAAGGCACGATGCCATACACCACTAGTTAATTTCCCGTATGGTAAGTTATTGTAATGGGCCGAAAATCAGAATTGAAAATTTTTACATTTCTCGACGTTTTGAAGGTTTCTAAACATTTTGGCATACCTCAGAAAAAATGGATGTGTGTGTGTGTGTGTATGTATGTATGTATGGATACAAATTTCCAGTCACGTTTTCGGGCGCACGGATCAACTTGAATGGTTCAAAAGACATTCAATTCCTATAGGGAAAAGAGCTGATTAGTTTTTGAAAAAGGCAGGTCCAGCCGTTTCGGGGATACGGGGCAAAGAGTGCAGAAAATAGAAATCTAAAGAGATCTAAACATTCAATTAGTAATGATTGGGAGAAGTGTTTATTAGTTTTTGGCAAAGGTAGGCCCAGCCCATTTCTATGATACGGAGCTAAATATGAAAAAATGGCAGTTTTTGAGAAACCTAAGCGTCTGATTTGAATGATTCAAAGAAATTTCTGCTCGTTCTTAACAAAATATTGATTTAGGAAAAAAAAATTTTCTGCTTCATTTTTTTTTTTTTTTTTTTTAAAATTTTTTGTATATCGAAAATTAATTCAGGTTTTATTTTAATTCTGACTATAGTTCTAATATACTTTAAACAAATAATTTCACAACTTTGCAATTCATTTATATAATTCTTATAAATATTAGACAATGATTGTTACAATATTTATAATAATTTATTTGAAAACATTCAGTATTCCTCGAACATTTTGTTACGGTACGGGAAGTTCCAGCAATTTGCCTTAAGGCACGATGCCACCCACCCCACTAGTTTATATTTTAGAAATGCAAAATTTACTTTTTCGTCTTTTCAAAATGCCGCCATGTGTGACAGCGCCTTTATTTTTTCGTCTTTTCGACGCCATGTGTGGCAGCGCCTTTACCTGTCAATTGACAGCCATGTTAAATTGAGGTTACAATTTTTAGAAAATTCTAAATTAGTATCAAAATGACTTAAATAAATTAATTTGTGATAAATTTATTAGTTACAATATAAAATTTAGTGAAACATATTTTAAAATATTGTTTAGTTATGTTTCTATGTGTTTTTTCCAACAAGAAAGAAATTGAAATGTCAGCAAAAGATCAAGAAATCAATAAAGCAACTGAAGTAATGTGCATTTAAATATGACAAAAATAAGTAAATTATTATAAATGGATAATACTTATCCCAAAGATTGTGCCAATTTATTTGAATCAGAATTATTTAGATGATGAAGATGATGTAATTCTCACAAAGGCTATAGAGAAAAAGTACGTAAAGGCTCCAAGTGCCACAAATTCCAAGAAAAAAGTCTTATATATGTACATATTGCCCAAAAGTCTTCACCCCAAAGACTCCTTATCATCACACATCAGAACTCATACCGGTCCATTCGTCTGCACCATCTGCAACAAAACCTTCACAAATTCTGTCTCCTAAAAAATCACTCCCATGCTTGTGCTAAATCACTCCAATGCTCCTACTGTGGTTTGACATTCTCTCGCCAAAGCCATCTCACATCTCACCTAAAATACCACACAGGAGAAGGCCTTTATGAATGCAAAGTTTGCACGAAGGTATTCAAAAGCCCTAGCGAGTTAGCAAGACACGAGGTGACCCATTCTGAAGATCGTCCTTACAAGTGTGAAATCTGCAATAAAGGCTTTTCACGGTTAAGTTATGTATCAAGGCACATGTTTGTGCATATGAACAAAAACCATTTACATGCACTTATTGTAATAAAAGGCTTTGGGTTGGTGAAAAATGATTTTACTCACACATTCTAGAATACATTCAGGTGAGCGCCCCTACAAGTGTGATGAGTGCAACAAAGCCTTCACAAGTTCTGTACGTCTCACAATGCACAAACGAATCCACACCGGGGCAGGGTTATAATGTCATTTCTGTGACAAAAAGTTTACCCAAATATCTATTTTAACAAGACACATAGTTATCCATACTGGTGAAAGACCTTTTAAATGCAAGTATTGTGATAAGGCTTATACACAACCGGGGCCTTTGTCAACGCACACGAGGACTCATACAGGGGAAAAACGTTTTAAGTGTTTACATGGCAGTAAGATGTTTACTCTACTTCGAATGCTCTGGTGGTGCATACGAGACTCCATACAGGTGAAAGGCCCTATAAGTGCATGATTTGTGGAAAAGGGATTTACACAGTCGCCTTTGTTGCAACGGCATATGAAGACTCACAATATTGTCTGAGAGGGAAGATAGGGGTGTAAATGAAGACTAAATAGTGGTAATGAGAGACAAGGAAGATATTGAAAAAGGTGCCAAATATTTTTTATATATATTTCAAGATTTTATCGTAGGGTGCTACAAAACCAAAGAATGTTTAGTATTAATTTTTAAACAATTTGATATGATTGAAATCACAAATTATCAAAAATTTTATCAAATTAGCATTTATTAACTTCCTGTAGGATAGTTTATAGTAATGGGCCGAAAATCGAAATGAAATTTTTTGAACTTCTCGACGTTTTGAGGGTTTCTGAACATTTTGGCATACCTCAGAAAAATCGATGTGTGTGTATGTGTGTGTTGTGTTTTGTATGTCCGCATTTTTTCGTAAGCGTTTCGGGCGCACGGATCAACCGATTTGAATGCTTCGAAAAGCATTCGATCCCTATTGATAGCGAGATGTACTGATTAGTTTTTGGCAAAGGCAGGCCCAGCCGTTACGGAGATAAAGAGCAAAGAGTACAAAAAATCCGATTTAAATGACTAAAAAACAATCATTTTGTAATGATTGGAAGAAGAGGTGATTAGTTTTTAGCAAAGGCAGGTTCAGCGGTTTCTGAGATACAGAGCTAAATGTGCAAAAAATGGCATTTTGAGAGAACTACTGCGTCCGATTTGAATGATTCAAAGAACTTTCTGCTTGTTTTTAACAAAATAATTGCTTTGTGGTAAAAAATATTTAATTTTTTTTTATATATCGAAAATTTTCAGATATTATTT